ATGTGGGCTTTGTTGCGTCTGAGCTTGATGGCCGCTGGAAGTTATTTTTTTAACCTTTTGAACTACATAGGGAATCATTAGTATGCTTGCTATTTCCTGATAGATAGCATGTTACTTTTTTATAGTTATTGAGAAAAATGCCTGTTTTTGTTTTAACAGACAACTGTAAACATTAACTTGTTGAATTGGACCCATAATGTTCTGTTTTCTTCCTATTTCATACTATGAGTTCAAGTTGAGAAGATTTTTATTCATGAGGTATAGAACGTTGTTTCATTCACTGCTATGGTAGGAACTCAATAACAATTAGCCATTGAATGAATCACTGTAAATTGAAAGACCCTTTGCCATCGAGTTAGTTCTATCTCATGGAGACCCAGGTGTGTCAGACTAGAGCTGTGCTCCATGGGGTCTTCGATGATCATCAGTTCTTTTTTCTTTTCTTTTCTTTCTTTTCATGGTAGCATGCTCACCTCAGCCCGCTTGGTGGTCCTCATGGGGAGAGCCCCTTTATTGTTAACCAAGAGTTATCCCTACTTATCATCAGTCCTTGTTTCTAAGGCATCCCTGGGTGGACTCAAACCTGGAATCTTTCAGTTAGCAGCTGTTTGCACCAGCTAATGGATCCTAGGTGAAATGTAATAAAGATAAATTGTAGTGTTCTTACATTTGTTGACAATACAAGGAGTGCTTTAATCCCTTTACAGATTTAATCCTATAACACTGAACGCGACGTTTTCGTAACAATATAATTTCATTAATATATTGATAATTATGAAAGTAAAGAATAAAAACAAAAATTTTTCCCTGGAATTAAATATTCTGGCATTATAGGGTTAATCATTTCTAATTTATTGTACAGAGTAAAAGTAATTCATCTTGCGTTTTTGAAGTATAGCTGAAAACCAGATGATATTATTTCCAGTCACTGTTAGCTGCACGGTTGTCTCTTGGTAACCTCATTCACATTGGGGTTAGACTTTTGTGATCTGTAGAGTTTTCATTTGCTAATTTTTCCAAGTAGATTGCAAGACATTTCTTCCCATCTGTCTTTGTCTGGAAGTTCTGCTGAAGCCAATTCAGCATCAGAGCAACATGCGTTCTTCCACTGACAGATGAGTAGTGGCTGTGCTTATAGTGAGTGCATTGTCTCGCAGTCAAACCCTGGTCTCCCACATAAATGGCAAGGATTATACCACTGAGCTACCACTGCCTTAACAAATTATGACTTTCCTTTGTTTCATTCCTAATTATTCCTAGAAGTTATCTCTTTAAAAATATTATTCCTCTACACTTCAGTTTTTTGACAGTTCAATTTTTTGACACATTTCTGTAGGGTGATGTATCCTTGCTGCTTTAAAATCAAAATCACTTCATGAGGAGTTATCCTTAGAAACAGAGTAGCTGTAGGTAATCAGTGGGTTTAACATTTTAGTCTTATCTTTTCAGTTATTGGAAGTCTTGAGGCCTTCACATTTTAGCAAGAGCTGCATATGTGAACATTTTGGCATTTTTGTTACAGAAATAGTTACCTTTCAAAATATGTATAATTCTAGTTGCTTAGTGGAATACCAGTTAAAGTTTTGATTGAGAAACAAGGGGCACCAGTTCCTTCCATATGAATTCAGTAGTTTTGGCACAATCTAGATTTTGTATATTTTCTTCTTTCTCTTTCCAATTGGCCAGATTCCAGGATACTGACAATTTCTTTTGAAGCGAGTATTTAGTATTCTGGTTGATTTGCCTCATTGG